CATGTTTTTGCACAGACATATGTTTTCAGTTCTCTTCAGTACGTAAGAGTGGAATTGCTGGGTCATTATAAAATGATGCAAACTGTTTTACAAAGTGGTTGCATCATTTTACAATTCCACCAGCAATGTAGGAGGATTCCAAATTTTCTGCATCCTTGACAATACTTGTTATTGTCTTTTTGATTATAGATATTCTAGTAGGTGTGAAGTGGTATCTCATTGTGGTTTTTATTTGCATTTCCCTAATGACTAATAATTTTGAGCATCTTTTCAGGTGCTTATTGGTCATTTTTATATCTTTTTCTGAGAAATATCTATTCAAATCCTTTGCACATTTGAAAAATAATAGACTTTATTTTCTACAAAGTTTTAGATTTACATAAAAATTGAGACAATACCCCACACCCACTTTCTTCTATTAACACTAAGTTATGGTATATTTACATTATGTTTCATCTTACTCTGCTGTGGTACATTTGTTACAACTAATGAGCCAGTATTGATACATTATTCTTTATTAAAGCCCAGAGTTTATTTAGTTTTTCTTCGTTTTACTTAAAGTCTTTTTTTTCTCTTCTAGGATCTCATCCAGGATACTACATTTAGTTGTCATGTCTCCTTAGGCTTCTATTGGCTGTGACAATTCTTTGGCCTTTCCTTAGTTTTTTATGACCTTGACAGTTTTGAGTAGTACCAGACAAGTATTTTGTAGGATACCCCTCTATTGAAATTTTTCTGATATTTTTCTCATGATGAGACTGGGGATATGGGTTTTTGGGGGGAAGATCACAGAGATAAAGTGACATTTTCATCACATCATATCAAGGGTATGTGTTATCAACATGATCACTATTCATATTGACCTTGATCATCTGGATGAAGTAGTATTTATCAGGTTTCCCTTCTGTAAACTTACTTTTTATTCTCCTTTTCTATATTGTGCTCTTTGGAAGAAAGTCATTATACAGTGAAACCTGTGAGAGCTGGAACTCAATGGGACTGCCTTGTTTTTCTGGGTCTCGAAAGTTTTCTGCCTTTGACAGGGCGCAGTCTCACCACTTTTCCATCGCTATTAGTGGAAAATATTTAAGTTTTCCCTCTCTGACAGGCTTCCACCTTACACAGGCTCCAGCTTTCACAGGTTTTACTGTACTATGCAAAGCCCATAGTTAAGGAGTGTATTACACTTCTTTTGAAAATTTATTGCTTAGTATTTTATGCCTTTTGATGTTATTATAAAGAAATGGTTTTCTTAATTTCATTTTCAGATTGTTCATTGCTAATGTACAGAAATGCAATTCATTTTTTTGTGCGTTTTGATCCTGTATCCTGCAACCTTGCTGCACTTGCCTATTAGTTTCAGGTTTTTGGTTTTTTTTTAATAAATTCTTTAGGACTTTCTATATACAAGATCATGTCATCCATGAATAAAGATAGATTTCTTTTTTTCTAATCTGGATGCCTTTTATTTCTTTTTCTTGCCTAACTGTCCTAGCTAGACCCTCCAGTACAATGTTGAGGAGTGGTGAGAGTAACCTTAGGTAGAAAGCATTAAGTCTGTCACCGTTAAGTATGATAGTAGTTATGGATTTTTCATAGATGTCTGTTCTCAGGCTGAAGAAGTTCCTGCCTATTTGAAATTTGTTCACTGTTTTTATCATGAAATGGTGTTACATTTTGTCAAATGCTTTTTCTGTGTCTGCTGAGATGATCATGTGGTTTTTTGTGCTTTATTCTATTAATATGGTATACTACATTTTTTGATTTTTATAAAACATGCCTTGCTTTCCTGGAATAAACCCCACTTGATCATGGTGTATAATCTTTTTTTATGTTGCTGGATTTGGTTTGCTATATTTTGTGAAGGATTTTTGCATCTATATTCATAAGGTGTTAGCTTTCTTTTCTTGTAATATCTTTGGTTTTGGTATCCATGTTTTCTTTAATTCATTTATGTGTGTGTTTGTGTGTGTGATCCTGTTGTTGTTGTTAGGTGCTGTCAAGTTGGTTATGACTCATAGCAATCCTCTGTACAACAGAACAAAATACTGCCCAGTCCTGTGCCATCCTTACAATTGTTGTTATGCTTGAGCCCATTGATGCAGCCACTGTATCAGTCCATCTCATTGAGGGTTTTCCTCTTTTTCGCTGACCCTCTACTTTACCAAGCATGATGTCCTTCTCCAGGGACTGGTCTCTCCTAATTACATGTCCAAAGTACATGAGACGAAGTCTTGCCATCGTTGCTTCTAAGGAGCACTCTGGCTGTACTTTTTCCACGACAGATTTGTTGGCTCTTCTGGCAGTCCATGGTATGTTCAATACTCTTTGCCAACACCATAATTCAAAGGCGTCAATTCTTCTTTGGTTGTCTTTTTTATTGTCTAGCTTTCGCATGCATATCCTAGGTACTTTAAAATGTAGGGCTCAGGACAGGAAACTCTTGCTCAGACCCTTCAGGTTACCTCTTTGTGACCTTTTTTCACTCTTTCAGATTGTCGTTGAAGGACATTATGGCCCGATCACACCTGAATAAAAATGAGGAGGAAGACGTTTAGGCCATCCTAGAGATAATTCTGGAAACTGATACTTATATTCTGGACTCAGGAGTTGTTCTAAATTCCTTACATGTGTTAACTAATTTGATCTTCACAACAAGGCTATTTCCAGAAAATTAACTGAGACTCTGAGAAGTTCAGTAATTTGCTCGTTGTTAACACATTGGAGAATGGCAGAGCGGTAATTATAGATTTGCTATATAAACAAACAAACAACCCACCCCACAAACACTCACTATTTGAACACTGCAGGGAATGAAAACAATTTTGAGAATTTTTTTTAAAATGAGACCTTTCTGAGTTTAAAATCCTCTGTTCAAATTAGGTTGGTGTCCTATTGATTCTTGAACTCATTCCTGCCTGATGCTTCACAGCAAGCCAGTATTGGGGCTTAATATTGGGAATAAGAGGAGAGAGAAATAATCTCTGGCACACTTGTTTTAATTAAGGCAAAGTTTTCTACTTCTATTAGCCACTGATATTTGTATTAATTAAAAAAAAAACACTTAATTTTTATTTAGAAGATTTGAAAACCTTTGCTCTCTAAGTTGATTATTATTCTTGGGCAAAAACTCTTCCCAAGGTACACACTTCAACATCTTTAATAAAGTGAGTGGAAATTTCCTTCAAAGCCAATTTTTATGAATGTTTCAATTTCATGAAGATAATGCCATCTTTTAAAATTCTAGTATTATAATAATTTATAATTATAAAATAGTATTTTTTATCATTCTGTAACAGTCAAAGCAGTCCCTAGGTGGCACAAATGGTGAAGTGCCTGACTACTAGCCAAAAGATTGGCAGTTCCAACCCATCCAGAGGCGCCTCAGGAGACAGGCCTGGTGATCTGCTTCCGAAAGGTCACAGCCTTGAAAACCCTATGGAGCAGCTCTACTCTGCACACACGGGGTTGCCATGAGTGGGAATCGATGGCAACTAACAACAACAATCCCAGACCTGGAGTCCCTGGGTGGTGCACACAGTGAATGTGCTTGGCTGCTAACCAAAAAGTTGGAGGCTCAAGTCCACCCAGAGGTACCTCGGATGAAAGGCCTGGCGATCTACTTCTGAAAGGTCACAGCCTTGAAAACTCTATGGAGCAGAGTTCTACTCTGCACACATGGGGTCGCCATGAGTCGGAATCAACTCAACAGCACTAACAGCAACAATAGTCAAGCAGAAGTACTTTTTAAACAATGTTTGCTCTCCAAAGTCGACATTCTTAAAGAATATGGCAATAAAATAAGTGTAGTTAACTCAGTTACTAGAAAGGACTTGTATCTTCAACTTGTATCTTAAGAATCTGATTTCTAGGGTAATGTGCTATTTAAGAATAAATTAGTTCATGTGGACAAAAAATCAAAGGGTCTATAGTCAGTTCTGTGGCAGAGGCAGCAAGATGAAGGATGCTGCTAGTGTTCCCGTCTCTGAAGATTGTCCTCTGTGAGCATCTCTGATTCACAGATGGTGATATAAGTATGGTGGAAGGATATAACCCTGATGTACACCTTTCTTGACTTTAAACCATGCAGTATCCCCTTGTTCTGTTTGAACTACTGCCTCTTGGTCTAAGTACGGGTTCCTCATGAGCACAATTAAGTGTTCTGAACTCCCGTTCTTTGCAATGTTATCCATAATTTGTTATGATCCACAGTCAAAGGCCTTAGCATAGTCAATAAAACATAGGTAATCATCTTTATGGTATTCTCTGCTTTCAGCCATAATCCATTTGACATCAGCAATGATATCCCTGGTTCCACGTCCTCTTCTGAATCCGGGTTGAATTTCTAGCAGTTCCCTGTCGATGTACTGCTGTAATCGCTTTTGAATGATCTTCAGCAAAATGTTACTTCTGTGTGATATTAACGATATTGTTCAATAATTTCCACATTCTGTTGGATCATCTTTGGAATGGGTACAAATATGGATCTAAATCCTGGTCCAAAAAAATCCAAACCCGTTGCTGTCAATTCCCACTCATAGCAACCCTATAGGACAGAGTAGAACTGCCCTATACGGTTTCCAAGGAGTGCCTGGTGGATTCAAACTGCTGACCTTTTGGTTAGCAGACGAACTCTTAACTACTATGCCACTAGGGTTTCCTAAATCCTGGTAGTAGGGTTTAAATGTGTTAGAAATTAAGTAGTACCTGATGCCATTGAGTCAATTCCAACTCATGGAGACCCCATGTGTTACAAAGTAGAACTGCCCACAGCATTTTCTTGACTGTAACCTTTATGGAAGCAGATCATGAGGCCTTTCTTCCATGGAACCACTCGGTGAGTTTGAACCACCTTTAGGTTAGCAGCCAATTGCAAACTGCTTGTGCCACTCAGGCTCTTAAACAATAATGTAAGGGTCTTAATAATTATTTTAGCTTTCAAAATGTCTAGTAAACCTCCATAGTAACTTTGTTTTTATAACATCTTTGCTTTAAGGGAGGAAGCTAGAGATGTTTGCCTCTCCGGTTGAAATGGGGACTATAAAACTTGTCTCTATGATGTTGACAGTGTTATTTTCATGTTATTAATACACAAAGATATAAGGCTGTTTAAAGTTTTGAAGCATGACTTCACATGCTTCAGAGTCTAGCCAAGTATATAATGCAAATTTTACAATGTGTTTCCTTTTATGATTTTTGGTTACATACATGGAAGTCATTCTCACGGCTATATTCTTCACTATTGGTGGTAATTATTAGGGTTTTAGTGGGTGATAATCATGTCCTTTTCCCTTGCTCAATATTTAGAAATAAACAAGAAATAAGATGCAGGAGTCAGACAGAGAGAAATAAAAATATTAGCTTTATTTTTGATGAAACTGATTGGGAAGCAGGGCTTTGGTATGAAGCCACTAGGGTTTCCCTTGGATCATTATGATTAGGTTCAATGTGAGTGGTCGAAAACTCAAAACAACAGTGGATGAAACAAGGGGGAGCCTACTTCTTAGCAATATCACTTAGAAGTCCAGAGGAGGCAATTCAGGACTGGGAGATTGTTCCATAGTACCAGGCACCCAGACTTCTTTCTATGATTTGTTATACGTGACTTCCTTTCCCAGGGTCATTTTGGGATCTAAGATGGCCGCTCCAGCTCCAGCTATCATGTATACATTCCAGCCAACAGGAAGAAAGAGAAGGGCAGGGTATCTTCACTTAAGGACACACCATTTTGCTTATACCCCATTAGCTAGAACATAATCACTTAGCGACATCTAACTATGTGAGTATTCTGGGGAGTCATACACCCAGCTAAAAACTGAGAAGTCTATTATAAAAGGGGAGGAAGAATATTGATGGACAACTTGTATGCCCTGCCATACTCAAGTTAAACTTAGGCAGCCAGGCAGAGGCACAGCTAGATAACCACTGGCCTCACCTATAGAGAGAGGCAAGCTGCTTACCACAGAGCAGAAACTTACCTCAAGAATAAGCTGCTTGCAAGAGGGGGAACCCAGAAGGGACTGAGCCATACACGCTTGGTTCCCTCTTATTCTCATCCACTGATGGAGGCCAGATGTATGTTTCCTATACTTCTCCCTCCTAATTGATGACTGGCTTTTATAAGGGGTGGTACAGTGAACTGTCATAAGGCAGGAAAGCAGTACACGATTTGGCACCACAGTAACAAGGTTTTCTTGTTTTTCCTTTATCTAGCTTCTCGCCATCTTCACTGTCCATCAGGTTAAGAAATCTTCCTGAATAGTCATAAGAGAGTTCTTCTTCTGGCAAAATGTCTTTGGCTGCAAACAGGGCCAACTTAGGTACCATGGAGTCAATTCGGACAGGAATCATTAACAGGTTTGGTTCACAAGAATGGTTAAGGTATCTTCCAATATTTCCTATATAAGTAGGATCAACAAATGTTTCCATTACCTGTCCATTATAAACATGTTCCCTGATGGCTATAATATAATTCGAATCATGTACCGTTTGTAATTGAATTCTTCTCTGCACTTCAGGGAACCCTAAAACCTCACCAGCATATTCACAGACAAACCTTCCTTTTGGTATAAATTCCAAGGTCCGTAGTCCCCAGCCTTTTTTATCTGTCTTAAACACCTGGAGGTGGAACTGCAGACCCCTCTGGACCACTCTGTTTCTGCAGTGGTCACTGCACTGGCACATGGTATTGCATTCAAAAACTGGCTGGGCATACTTTCCTTCCAATCCTATATCTCTGAGGCATGAATTATCATCATAGTTCTCCTCATGACGGAGACAGGAGCAAGTATCAGGGAAGCATGGAGTTTTGAGACAAATGCATCCAGGAAAGGTTATTTGAGTGGGATCAGTGTCTGCTCCAGGTCCAATGACATGATCAGGAGTATACTGCAAAAAATATAAATACTGTAAGTCAGCATGGCATGTTATGTATTTCATAAATATGTTTCAAGCAGCTTTTAGCTGAGACACTTTTTAATTCCAACATGTATAAAAACAAAACTGATAGTTTTTTTTTTTATTGTGCTTTAGGTGAAAGTTTACAGAGCAAATCAGTTTCTCATTAAACAATTAATACACATATTGTTTTGTGACATTGGCTGTCAACCCCACGACGTGTCAACAGTCTCCCCTTCTTGACCTTGGGCTCCCCATTTCCATTCGCCCAGCTTTCCTGTCCCCTCCTGCCTTCTTGCCTTGCCCCTACACTGGTGTGTCCATTTAGTCTCATGTACATGGTTGAACTATGTGTACTGTTTGTTTTATAGGCCTGTCTAATCTGTAGCTGAAGGTTGAACCTCAGGAGTGACTTCAGTACTGAGTTAAAAGGGTGTCTGGGGGCCATCCTCTTGGGGTTTTTCTAATCTTTGTCAGACCAGTAAGTCTGGTCTTTTTTTGTAAGTTTCAATTTTCTTCTACGTTTTTATCCAGCTCTATCAGGACCCTCTGTTGTGATCCCTGTCACAGCAGTCAGTTGTGGTAGCCAGGTACCATCTAGTTGTGCTGGACTCAGTCTGGTGGAGGCTGTGGTAGTTGTGGTCCATTAGTCCTCTGGACAAATCTTTCCCTTGTGTCTCTGGTTTTCTTCATTATCCCTTGCTCCATACAGGGTGGGACCAGTAGAGCTTCTTAGATGGCCACTCATAAGCTTTTAAGACCCCAGATGCTACTCACCAAAGTAGGACGTAGAACATTTTCTTTATAAACTATGTTATGCCTATTGAGCTAGATGTCCCCCAAGACCATGGTCCCCAGCCCTCAGCTCAGTAACTCGATCCCTATGGGAGTTTGGATGTGTCTATGAAACTCCTATGACTTTACCTTCGTCAAGCTGTGCTGACTTCCCCAGCACTGTGTACTATCATAGCCTTCACCAAAGTTACCACTTATCTATTGTCTAGTTAGTGTTTTTCCTTCCCCATCCCTCTCTTCCTCATAACCATCAACGATTGTTTTTGTCTGTAAAACACAATATTTTAAGATATTGTCTGAAAAAATACTTCCCCCAATTTAAAAAATAAGATTAATTCTTTAGATTAAATTTTTTTTGGTCCTATTTTAGGTGTAGGGATAACAATAAGAAAAAATTTTTTTACTTATCAGAAATTGAAAGCATTTAAACTCATTATATTTCCCTCTTAGCTTTGGATGTCAGGAAAATCATAGCTGAATTTAATGTTTGATTGCAGTCGGATGCTGTATCCTTGGCTTTAATCTCTTTTATCTTTATCTGATAATGCTGTCACTGTTAGGTGCCGTTAACTCAGTTCCAACTCTTTTTTTTTTTTTTTTTAGTATTTTATTGTACTTCAGGTGAAGGCTTACAGAACAGATAGTTTTTCATGTAACAGTAACACACATGCTGTTTTATGACATTGGTTAACAACCCCACAACATTTTAACCCTCTAAATACTCAACTTTTTTTTTTTTTTTGAAAATACACATAGCCAAAGATACGCCATTTCAAAAATTTTTTTTACATACACATTTAAGTGACATTGACTACGCTCTTCTAATTATGCTGTTATTCTCACTTAAGATGAAGGCTTACAGGACAAAATAGTCTCCCATTTGACAGTTACTACAAATGTTGCCCTATGACAATGGTTAACAATCTCACAACACATCAACAATATCCTTACTCTATTTTGTGTTCCCTATCATCAGCTTCCTACTCCCCTTCTGCCTTCTGGGCCTTGTCACTGGACTCCTGTACCTCGTTACTCTCATGGTTTTACTGGGCTGTCCACTCGCAGGCTGATCAGTGAACCTCGAAGGTAACTTTACCACTGAGCTAAAAGGGTGTTTGGGGGCCATACTCTCGGGGTTTCTCCAGTCTCCTTTAGGCCAGTAAATCTGGTCTTTTTTTTTTTTTTTTGTGAGTTAGAATTATGCTCTACATCCTTCTCCAGCTCTCAGTTCCAACTCTTATCGACCCTATATACAACATAACAAAACACTGCCTGGTCCTGCACAATCCTCACAATCACTGCTATGTTTGAGTCCACTGTTACAGTCCACTGTGACATCTCATTGAGGGTCTTCCTCTTTTTCGCTGACCCTCTACTTTACCAAGCATGATGTCCTTCTCCAGGGACTGGTCCCTCCTGATAACATGTCCAAAGTCGAGAGATGAAGTCTCGCCATCCTCACTTCTAAGGAGCATCTGGCCGTACTTCTTCCAAGACAGATTAGTTTGTTCTTCTGGCAGTCCATGGTATATTCAATAGTTTTTGCCAACACCATAATTCAAAGGCATCAATTCTTCTTTGGTCTTCCTTATTCATTGTCTAGCTTTCGCATGCATGTGAGCTGACTGAAAATACCATGGCTTGGGTCAGGCGCACATTAGTCCTCAAGGTGACTTCTTTCTATATATGTATTTTTATTGTAAGGCACCTCAGTTCCTTTTTGGGGATAAGAAAGGCATGAATGCTAAATAAATCAATGAAAGATGGCTTCTTGGGAAAGAGTCTTCCACTGATTTTTTTCCTAGAATTTTTTTTAATTTAAAGATTATCTAAATTCTTAAAACATTCTCTGTTTTAAAAAGACACTATTACTTTATAGTTCCATTTGAGTCTTCACAATATTTAAAACCAATCATTTGGCTAAAAACTGAAGACAGAATTCTAAGAATGGTATTTGTCAATAGGTATTTAGATTTATTGTTGCCTTTTATGTAAAGAAATTATATTCTTATTAAATGATACAAAGAGATAATATAAAAAAGTTTTTCAAGTCTTTTCAGTGTACTTGCGTCTTCAGACATAACATTTATACAATGTTATGGAAAAAGAAGACATTCTAAAATGGTTAATGAATGTCTATGTAAAGCCAAATCTCTGGTTATCTCACTGGCATAATAAAGCTTATTTTCAAACTCTGAAGATTAAAGTATTTCATGAGCCCAGCATATTTCTTTGTGTATAGAAAATTCTTGCTTATGTGGAACATAAATCATTTATTTTACCTGCCTTGTTCAAAAAAGGATTTAATGCGGCTTACAAAGAGATAAAATAAGTGAACAATAGGTAAGAAAAATGAGGTGAAGGGAAAAAAAGAGCAAGCCAGTCCAGTGAGCTGAGACCCACAACGTGTGGATGTTTAGCTCAGCCTGAGGGCAGCCAACCACTTTAAAGAAGAAATAGAATTAGATGTAAAACTCATATTGTCCATAAGGAACAATCTGACCGTTCAGAAGCAGCACTGACTCTTTCCCATATTGAGACTGGAGAGAAATTTCACCAATGTGTCCTTCTAAACCATTCTTTTCCAGGAAGCAGTTTCATGGGCTGTTTTTTATTCTGACCCTCAATAAAGGCAGATGACATGCTTACTTTCCACTGCACAGTTCAGTAAGTGCCCTTCTGCAAGGGACCAGTTGCTCGGCCTTTAATTCAGGGATAGATTTTAGAGTATCTAGAGGAATATTTGAACAGCATATCATTCAGTCAATTCTCCGTTAATATTATTTCTCCCAGCTGAGCTTAAGAAAGGTATTGAGCAGCATGTAGTTATTCTTCCTGTGGAGGCCTCTGTGGAGCTATACAGTTAAGTGCAAAGCCCTATACTTCAAAAAACGCTGAGCTGGGGAGGAGTGACACCCTCTTGTGAATGATGAGGAGCAAGAGTGGGAGTACCTGTAGGGGAAGGCCAACATTCTGCTTAAAAAGTGATTTAGGGGTGGAGAGTGGAAATAGCTTCCGTTGTTTGTGTCTTTCATTACAGCTTCAGCTTTGCAGACGAAGTCCTAAAGGGATAAAGCATGGCTCAGAAAGAGATGGCCTGTCAGTCAAATTAAAAGACTGCTGTCTTATACCTGGTCTACTTCCAGCTTTTAAATGATTCAAATTTGCCATGTAAATGGTTACTGAGACATTTTAAGAAGTACTTGTAATATAAGGATTTACTATCTCTTTGTTAAACTTTTCATGAAGAATTTTTTAAACTGATTTGCTCTTAAAGGCTCACATATTTTTAAGGCTCAATATAACTCACTAAACGCTAAAGTGATTTTTTTTTTTTTACACAGATGATTCCTTTTAAACTCAAGTCTGACTGATGGCAGTTTTCTAACCAGGAGAGCATTATTATTCCTTGTTGATTTGATCTGCATATGGATAGGTATGGAAAAATACTTTTATCTGCTTATTTTTAAGATTTTGGGGAATCTAGTGATATATTTTTTAATTCTGCAACCCAAACTTGATGCCCAATCTGAGATCCTTTAGGGACTTAGACTACAAATGGTAGCTGATTCTAAATGAGCTGCAGACACCTTACAAAGAACAACAGAGACCTCTGGATAAATTTCTTGTTTAAAGAGAATATTTTTTTCCTTGATGGATGTAATCATTGACCCTGAGACCAATAATCATTGCAAACCATTTGATCTACCAAGACTCCACTTTCTCCTCCACCAGTAAAATACTATTCCAGAAAGACAGTTTACCTGACTTAGACAAATGACTATACCTGACTTAGAAAAATGACTACAGTAAAGAATAATCTTTTGAAATCCTTGGTTTAATTTATCATGATTATCAAATTATTCATCTTTTCTGGTTTATAACTACATATTTAAAAATTATTTGTTCTTTTCAGAAACAATCTGATGTTAGTAACCTGCCGTTCTATTCAAATATTTATATGCCAAGCAAACTGTTAAACTTTGAGTATCTGAAAGATTATGGTAAGTGCGTTACAAACTGGGAGTCAGTTGACCTGAGCTTAAATTCTCCCGATTTGTAACTCTTTTCATAGTTTGTACCCCACTTCCTGGAACAAAGCCCAGGACCATGCTGATCCAAAAATGGTGTTACCCTGAGGGTTGTTTGTGCCTACACTAAGCCAAGGGGAGGTCAAAGCTTGGAGGAGATGCTGACCAGAGTGGACATATGTTTTTACCTACACAGCATCTACTCCTCTTTCTTCTGATAACAGCATCCCAGTTCTTCCCAGGGGAATCCTCCCTGCTCTTATTCTCATTAGTTTGGATGGGGGTCCAGCTTGGGCTGAGACCTAGACCAGCTAATGAAAACATCATAGGCCCCTATTACCAGTGTTTTGTTCATGGACGGGCACATGACTTAAGCCAGACCAATGAAATTTAATTCTGGGAAGTATGCTGAAACAATTGGGGAAGAAGTCTTTCTCATTCCACTGGGATTGCTAAACCAGTAGAGGACACACCTAACATTTCCAAGTGCTACTACATAGATAAGATCTACTGAGTGTGCTGCCAACCACTGGAGAAGGGAGTAGAGATGCCAAGTGGGGTGGTGACTGGTATCTGATGATACTGTTTGAATCCTTGGATCCAGACATGCCTATAGGTACCATTCCTGGGCTTTTCTGTTATGTGAGGCAATTCCTTCCCTTTTTTGCTTGGGCCAGTTTGTGTTGTGTTCTTGCGACCAAATGAGTCCTGACAGACACAACCAGGGTAGAAGCTGAGAAAGAATGGCTCCAGTGAAAGGCAGGCAAGTTTAGCCAAAGATGTAAATGACCAATGAGGTCTCCAACTAGGAGGTAAGACTGGAGCAAACTGTGGAGGCCAGAGAGGAAAGTTCTACGACTGTGCCCTGAAACACTGGAAAGCAGAGGAGAGCTTCTTAATGCAGAACATAGAATGTCCAACAGGAGACACATACAGAGCCAGACTCTTTTTTTGCATTGTTTCTTTAGGCAAGTGACTTTGCTAAGCTCTGGGTTAACCAGTAACTAGTTGCCTTTGAGTTGAATCCAACTCATGGTGACCGCATGTGTGTCAAGGAACTGTGCTCCATAGGGTTTTCAATGGCTGATTTTTTCATAAGTAGATTGCCAGGCCTTTCTTTGGTGCTGCCTCTGGGTGGACTCGAACTGCCAAACTTTTAGTTTGCAGCGAAGGGCATAAACTGTTTGTGCCACACAGGGACTCTAAGCTTTAGGTTGGCAACTATAAAATAGGGATAATACCCATATTTGCATGGCTTTTCATGAAATTTAAATAAAATAACATAGTACTCAGTGCCAGACACTTTATACTTTTAAAGTATTAGCTTCCTTCAATTCTTCTAAGGTCCCTGGGTGGCAAAAATGGTTTGTGCTTGACTATTAACTGAAAGGTTTGCTGTTCAAATCCACCCAGCAGGGTGCCTCAGAAGAATGGCCCAGCAATCTACTTTCGTAGGATTGCTGTTATTGTTAGGTGCTGTCGAGTTGGTTCCAACTCATAGCCACCCTACAGGATAGAGGAGAACTGCCCCATAGGGTTTCCAAGGAGCGGCTGGTGGATTTGAACTGCCGACCTTTTGGTTAGCAGCCGAGCTCTTAACCACTACAGCATCAGGGCTCCTACACAGGATTATAGCCATTGAAAACCCTATGCAGCACAGTTCTACTCTGCAACACGTGGGGTTGCGATGCGTCAGAATTAACTCAATGGCAACTGGCTTGATTTGGTGTTTGGTTGATTCTTCTAGATAATATTGCTAGATGTTATATTTAAAACATTGTACGTATCTGGCAAATTAATATCTCTAAGCATTTCCTTATCTATCTATCTCACAGGTTGCTGTGAAGGAAAAAATGAGGGAATCCATGTAAAAAGCTTACTTCAGTTTATTACATACATGTTTAATGAAAATTTTGCAGTGTAATAGGGTGATGAAAAAACAAATCTGGAGTTATAGACTTCCCAGGTTCAAATATACTCAAACCAAAATTGTGTCTAGAAAAGCAATAGCTATCTTCCATTAATTAATCCAACTTGAGGGGTGAACAGCAAACAGCTAACCCAGCCCAGACTTCTTCTATTCATCAAAAAACATTGCCTTACTAACTATTAGAGGAGCCTTGGTGGCACAGCGGTTAAGTGCTTGGCTGCTAACCGAAAGGTAAGCGGTTTGAACCCAACACCCTGCTCTGAGGGAGAAAGATGTGGCAATCTGCTTCCATAAAGATTTACAGCCTTGGAAATCCTATGGGGCAGTTCTATTCTGTCCTGTAGGGTCGCTATGAGTCAGAATTGACTTGATGACAGTGGGTTTGGTTTTAGGTTACTATTATATGCAGGTGTTGGATTTAGAAATAACCTGCCAATTAGGACATACAAAAAGGAATTTTTATCATTTCTTACATTGTGATAACAAATTTTACTTTTTCCTGATATATATCAAAGTATAGAATTAATTATGCAAGAGTTAAGAATAACTGCAAAATCATCAGTGCAAAATGATGCACAGGAAACTGGATCCTTGAAGCAATGGGTAGAGATTTCAGCTTTTTTGACAGAAAATTTAAATGAAAGTGTTTTATGAAATAAACCATGGTTACCAAAAAAATCAAAGTGGAAATAGGAGATAGCATATTGAAGAGCAAATATACTTCCTTAGCTACTCTCATCCACAATAACTTCTCCTTTCTCTGAAGTAGACCTGCACTTACTGTTAATAGTATGAACTTTGGGGTCTAAATGACAAACACTGTAGGGCTCTTTAGTTGTGTTATATGTGATGCTCTTGCCTTTCTAACAAATATGTAAGTCTCAAGGGAAGGCCTGTCCCTACATGATTTGGGATGTGGTGTGGGGGTAGTACTAGGCACAGAGCAGGAAGTATTTTTTCATTGCTTGATTGCAGCTCTTGATAACCTTTGATTGGAAGTTTGACTTTTCTGAATCACATTTTGTATCAAAGCCCCAGAAACTGCAGTGTAACACTGTATATGATATTCCGGGCTTAAAACCTGGGCCTGGATTCTGAATTTTAAGGAAGTCTGTGAAAATCTTCATTCCTTTTTTGGTTGTTTTGAAACACTAGCTACAAGAATCTTTGTACTTGGCCTCTAGCCTCATGAGTTTGTTTTTGCTCCAAGCAGCTATTAGGAGACTGTGAGCCAGATAATTCTTGTCAAGGCACAGATGAAATCTTAAAAATGATGTTTGAAGCTGGTTTCAGATCAGGGACCTGAAAAAAGAGCCAGATCCAATTCTTTGCTCAAGAAAATCAGTTTATTTTCTACTTGGCTTTCAACACTGATGGCAATATGATATGCTTGTTTCCAACTGAACATTTGAACATTCTTTTTGCCTTTTCACAGTACCCAAAAGCAAACTGTTGTTGTTGTTGTTAGGTGCCATCAAGTCAGTTCTGACTCACAGCGACGCTATGTACAACAGAAACCTTGCCCAGTCCCATGCCATCCTCACAATGGTTGCTATGTTTGAGCCCATTCTTTCAGCCACTGTGTCAATCCATCTCATTGAGGGTCTTCTTCTTTTTTGCTGATCCTCTACCAAGCATGATGTCCTTCTCCAGGGGCTGGTCCCTCCTGATAACATGTCCAAAGTACGTGAGACGAAGTCTCCCCACCCTTGCTTCTAAGGAGCGTTCTGGCTGTACTTCTTCCAAGACAGATTTGTTCACTCTCCTGGCAGTCCATGGTATATTCAATATTCTTTGTCAACACCATAATTCAAAGGCATCAATTCTTCTATAGTCTCTCTCATTCATTGTTCAGTTTTTGCATGCATATGAGGCAACTGAAAATACTATGGCTTCGGACAGGCACACCTTTGTCCTTACAGTGACATCTTTTCTTTTTAACACTTTAAGGAGGTCTTTTGCAGCAGATTTGCCCAATGCAATACATTGTTTAATTTCTTTCTTTTAAAAATATTGTTTTACTGAGGTACAATTTACATATACTGAGGTGCAAAGATCTTTTTTTTAAATTTTTTATCGTTGTAGTTTAAGTGGAAGTTTACAATTCAAGTTAGTCTCTCATACAAAAGTTTATGCATAAATTGTTATGTGACCCTAATTGCTCTCCTTATACTGTGACAGCACACTCCTCCTTTCCATCCCTGATTTCCCAAGTCCATTCAAAAAGCTCCTAACCCTCTCTGCCTTCTCATCTCACCTCCGGACAGAAGCTGCCCATTTAGTCTCATGTATCTACTTGACCTAAGCAGCACACTCTTCATGAGTATCATTTTATGTCCCACAGTCCAGTCCAATCTTTGTCCGAAGAGTTGGTGTCAGAAATTGTTTCAGTTCTGGGTTGACAGAATCTGGGGGCCTTGCTTTCTGGGGTTCCTCCAGTCTCAGTCAGACCATTAAGTCTGGTCTTCTTACTAGAATTTAAGTTCTGCACCCTACCCTTCCCCTGCTCCATCAGGGACTCTCTGTTGTGTTCCCTGTCAGGGCAGTCACTGGTGGTAGCCGGGCACCATCCAGTTCTTCTGGTCTCAGGCTGATGAAGTTTCTGGTCTATGTGGCCCTTTCTGTCTCTTAGGCTAATACTTTCCTTGTGTCTTTGTGTTCTTCATTCTCCTTTACTCCAGGTGGTTGGGACCAACTGATGCATCTTAAATGGACACTTGCTAGCTTTTAATACCCCAGACACCACTCACCAAGGTAGGATGCAGAACATTTTCTTAAAAAACTTTGTTAAGCCAGTTGACCTAGTTGTCCCCTGAAAGCATGGTCCCCAGACTCCAGCCCCTGCTACTCTGTCCTTCGAAGTGTTTGATTGTATTCAGGAAACTTTTCAGCTTTGGTTTAGTCCCGTTGGAGGTGCAAAGATCTTAAGTGATCAGTTTGATCAATTTTCCCAAATGCATACCCTTGTGTAACATTTCCATCACTCCCAGAAAGCTCCCTTAGGGCCCTTCCTAGTCCGTGCTAACACTACCCCATTCCCAAGAAATCACTGGTCTTATTTCTGTCATCATAGATTAATTTTGACTCTTCTAGAACTTTATACAAATGAAATCGTACAGTATGTACTTTTTTGTCTGGCTTCTTTTACTCAGCATAATGTGTGTTTTTCTTTTTTAAATTTTATCCTCACATACTTTATTATGTATCTTAATTATATGCATTTTTTTTACATAGCCACAATACCATTATCATACCTAATTAATGTGGTATCATCCCAGTACCAGTCCATAATCAAATTTTCCTTACTATATAAAAATGTCTTTTCTAGAGGGTTTGTTTAAATCAGGATCTAAACAAGGTCAATACATTATATTTGATTTTTGTCTCTTAATTCTTGTAAAATCTAGACCAATCCCTCCACACTATCCTCTCTCTCACTGGCATTGCCTTGTTGCAGAAATTAGGTCAACTGTCCTACAAAATATCCTGATTTTGGATTTGTCTGTTTGTTCCTTGTGCTATCATTTAGTAGCCCGTTTCTCTTGTATTTTATTTTAAAATTATATATCTTTAAAGGTTTTTCTAATTAAACTTGAGTGTTGTAAAAAATTCAAAAATTATAGAAATCCATATGTAATGTGGCAATAAAAGTCTCCTATAATCCCATCTCCACAGATAATCATTATCAATTATCTGACATATATTCAGATTGTTTTATATCTCAACAAGAAAATTTTTTCTCAATTATTAAGCAATGAGAGTGGTCATTATGTAATTTCTCACTGCAACTCTGTTTTGGGGGAGAGAAAAATAGGACCTTTTATTCAGTAATTTTTTGCACAGTGTCCCAATTCTGTAAAAAGCTTAGTCATTGTTGGAAAGAGCTAGTGCTGCACAAATCCAGTTATTAAGTTAATCAAACATAGGAAGTAGTATTGTATGTACTGCAGGGTAAAAAATCTGTCATTGGGGAAGGAACAGACATAGAATGGGAACACTTGAGTAAAACACACAGGGACAAACTTTGTCCTGAGCTCCAGAATCCATCAGATAGAAGCACGATGTTTTCGAGGTTCATCGTTTTTGAGATTCATCCATGATATTGTTTGGGTCAGTAGTTTGTCTTTTGTTGCTGAGTTGTTGTTAGCTGTTGTTGAGTTGGCCCTGACTAATGATGACCCTATGTATTACAGAATAGAAATGCTCCAGAGTGTTCTTGGCTGTAATCTTTACGGAAAGGAGCCCTGGTGGTGCTGTGGTTAAGTGCTTGGCTGCTAACCAAAAAGTTGGTGGTTCAAACCCATCAGAAGGATGTAGCAGTCTGCCTCTGCAAAGATTTACAGCCTGGGAAGCCCTATGTGGCAGCTCTACTCTGTCCTATTGGGTCACCATGAGTCACAATCACGTTGTCTGATTTCTTGACTGCTGCTTCCATGTGGGCTACTGTGGATCCAAGTAAAATGAAATTCTTGACAACTTCAATATCTTCTCCATTTATCATGATGTTTCTTATTGGTCCAGTTGTGAGGATTTTTGTTTTATGTTGAGGTATAATCCATACTGAAAAAGCAAACTAGACAGTTATTTTTACCTTGAGTTTTTCATGCTTTAATTCTTACGTGTGCATATGCATGTGAAGGCAGGGTTTGGGGCAAGCAAGCTGTTTTGACTTTTTCTTATAAGACTGGTTTTGTGATTCACGAATATTTGGAAGCATATAAGTTGAAGACCCTTTTAGGATTGTCATTTAAATGTTTCAGGAATGTTTTATCTTCTTGATAAGACTGTAAGCTCCTTGAGGAAGGGATCTTGTCTCCTTTCTGTAACTCTAACTCTACCCAGAGTTGTACATATAAATAAGTAGCTAGATAACTGCAGGATTGAGTCTTAGTCTTTTGACTTTCATTTATAGCTACCAACTGAAGACGTAAGGGTCCATTACAGAGCATCCTCTTCTCCTCTTTTTGGAGAGCTGGTGGTGTAATGTTTAAGAGCTACAGCTGCTAACCAAAAGGTTGGCAGTTTAAATCCACCAGCCACTCCTTGGAAACCCTATGGGGCAGTTCTACTCTGTCCTATAGGGTTGCTATGAATGGGAATCAACTCGACAGCGAAGAGTTTGGTTTTTCACTCTCCTTTTTACAGCTATCAAGTGCCTTCTATTTCCTCCTGTAATCTCAAGTGTAGGAGCCCTGCTGGCACAGCAGTTAAGTATGCTTGGCAGCTAAATGAAAGGTCAGGGGTTCCAACCCACCAGCTGTTCTGCGGAGAAAGACGGAGCAGTCTGCTTCTTCAAAGATTTAAAGCCTTGGAAACCCTAGCGGGCAGTTCCACCCTGTCCTATAGGGTTGCTATGAGTCCAAATGGACTTGATGGCAATGGGGGGTAATCTTAAGTGCAGGGATTGTGTGTTTTATCTTCTGGGCCTAGCCTAATACAATGCCTGGCACATGATAGGTAACATTTGGTCTTAAATAAGCTTTCAGGGATAGGTGTTTAATATGGTGTCAGCCAACCCTATAATTTCTGACATTAATATCCTGTTTTACTCTTTGAAAATTGCTATTGAATCTATTATTTTATTTGATCCTCACAATAACTCTAGGAAGAAGGAAGGGCAGAGTACTTGAATATTGATTATGGCTACAAGATTATAAATTTTTAAATTATTATTTCTATCTTGCAGCTGAAGAAACTCAGGCTCTACAAGGTAGCAAAGATGGCTAAGACTTGAACCTAACTCTCCAACCTTCGAGTTCAGTGCTCTTTCCACTTCAACAACCTTTTTTTTTTGGTCATTCCTTAGGCAATTTTCAGGCCAAGAAGAGAAGGGTGAAAAAGTTAGAGCTGAAAGTGCTTTGAGATAGCAACTGTAGTAAAGTATTTATTGAGCTCTTACAGTGAAGCAAGCACTATGCTTTACTTGTATTTTAATTCTCAAAACAATCCTGAGAGGTAGTATTATTTTAACTGTACACAGCAGGAATCCAAGGCTCAGAGAAGCTAATTCATCTGCCCAAGAGCTTACAGCATGAGGGAGGCCTCGGCTAAATCTGAGACGGGCTAAACCCTTAACCATAACTCTAAGCTGAGATCCGTTAAGAGGCTCCAAGCCTTACACTACCAGTGAGGCCAGAGAGGTAACTGATTTTCCTCAGGTCCCTCAGTGAACTCTGGGGATAGAACAAGGACAAGAAGCCAGCCTTCCAGGGCTCTTTCTAAGGGACCTCACGAAGCCTCTGGTGTTACCCTTCAGAGAACTACCAGTCCACAGGTAGAAAAGGCCCCTGTTAAGACCATACGGCAGATCATCAGAAAAATACTGAAGCCTGTGCACTGAAGAGCGATTCCTGCGAACAAAAGGCCATGCATTAGTAAGTAAACCAAGTAGTTAGCAACTCTCCTGCGGTATGAAGAGTCTCTCTCAGATGGACGACCATGCGGTGAGCCGCGAGCGCAAATCTCGTGGCCGCCTAGTCACGCCTCCACCTGGAAGAGCGCCGACCGTGACTCCAAGGACCGCGTGCGCAGCTCTTGTGGAGGCCTAGTCCCGCCCCTACCTGGAAAGGCGCCGGCTCCACCTCTGGGGGCCACCAGCTCACAGGCAAGTTCTCCAGGCCGCGTGCGACATCCTGCTGTTCAGTCGGGGCCTCGGGCCCCTCCTCAGTGGCTGCTATCCCTAATAGCAACTTCTTCTCCACAGCTTCCGCAAACATTTCGCCGCCGTAACGCTGCGCCTACCACCCCGACACCTTTCAGGTTCGCAGAGGATGCTGGGAGTTGTGGGTCGCGCGGCCACACAGCCTCATGGGAGTTGTAGTTTTTCTCTTCCACACACGTGGCATGTCAGAGCGCTTAGTCCGTCAGCTTTCGTTGACGTTTTGGTCTGGCTGCGTTTGTTTTGAGCCAGACGCAACACAGATAATTTGAAAACCATATAAGGTACGGAAAAAGCTTTGGGAACACAAAACGAAGTGTTTTAATATTCCTGTGGGCGTCGTGGAGGGCTTTAGAGGTTAAGTCATTAGTTCAGATTCTTGAGTGCTTAGTAGAGGTTTGCTGGAGTGGAGAGAGGAACGCATTTTAAGCTGGGGAGAAAGGAGTGCATAACAGAGTTCCTACAGATGTGAAACTTCCGTGGAAATTGGTTGGCATGTGATGGAATTCGAAACCTGGCGGCCTTATAGTGCACCCCAGGAATTTGATTTGGGTACCCGTCAACTCTGTGAGATCTATTCCCTGTGGGCTCCCTCTTTCACACACCCCCACCCTACTGAAAACCAACCAACCAAAAACTACCCAGAAAAAGGATTCTGATAACCGTGAAACTGCTAAATCCTGTAGAGTGTGTTTAGAGGTCCCTGGGTGGCCTACACTGCTTGTGCTGGACTACTAACCTAAAGGCTGGTGTTCTGAACCCACCAAGAGGCACCACAGAAGAAGGGGAAGAAAGGGCCGGCGATTTGCTTTGTAAAAATTACAGCCAACAATACCTTACCTTTTGGAGTAATTCTACTCTGTAACTCATGGGGTTCCAATGAGTTGGAATTGACTCGGCAGTGGGTTTGGGTTGTTGGTTTGCTGGAATATTTTCAACCTTACCAAAGCTCTCTGACCTGATTATCCTGCTCCTTCTACTTAAAACCCTCTTCCCCTCACAGGTTCAGTTCACTGTCCTGGATATGCTTCAGTCTTGCAGATCTTTTCTTCTTGGTATCCTTTTGTGGTTCTCCCTGACTCTCCCTGAAGTGTTAGTGTCACTCAGGTCTCTGCCCTTCACCCATTTAACCTAATTTGTGCCTCCTGAGTAATAGCATCCACTCCCATGGCTTCAAATGTAACTATAAAATAGTCGTTTAGTAGTATAGTAGTACTATGGAAACCCTGGTGGCGTAGTGGTTAAGTGCTATGGCTGCTAACCAAAGGGTTGGCAGTTTGAATCCACCAGGCGCTCCTTGGAAACTCTATGGGGGAGTTCTCCTCTGTCCTGGTCCTATAGGGTTGCTATGAGTTGGAATCGACTTGACGGCAACGGGCTGGTTTTTATAATAGTGCTATATGTTATTCAGTCTCTCCAACCCATCTCTCCTCGACTCCAGTTATGGATAGCCAACTAATTATTGGACATTTCTACTTTCTGTTTTATAGTCACCTTAAGCTCAAAATGACCTAAATTGACTCATTATGCTTCTGCAAATCTTGCTTTTTCCTCCTTTAAAATAAACTGGAAGAATAGTTCATGACATACAGAGCTACCAAAGCAACAAACCAAAGAGTTACCCTATATCCTTCATCTCCTTAGATCCCGATAGCTAAGGATTCTGTTGCCAAGTCCTGTTGTTTTTACCTTTATAACATTTTTCATTTTTATTCCTTCCTACTAAATCTCAAGGGAGCCCTGATGGTGCAGTGGTTAGAGCAGTCGACTGCTAACCAAAAGGTTGGAGGTTCGAAACCACCAGTGCCTCCGAGGGAGAAAGATGTGGCAGTCTGCTTCCTTAGAGATTAACAGCCTTGGAAACCGTATGGGGTCGCTATGAATAGGATTCGACACTATGGCAGTGAATTTTTGAGTTTGGACTCAATCTCAGGCTCTCATTTTTGCTTGGACAAGTGCAGTAACTTATTACACGTTTATCATTCTCCATACTTTCAAATCACTCTCACTGCTGCTGCTACAATAATCTTTTGAAGACGCACATCCAATTATATTTCACTGCTTAAAGTCTTGTGTTTGCTCCATGTTTTCTCTTAAGAGTCCACCTCCTATAATCTAGCTTATAATGCCTTGAAGGTGCAGACCCTACCTAATTCTTTGAGTTCTGTTGCTGCTATTCCCTGTTTTGAACCCCTTGTTCTATTTACATTTTCTCAACAAGCCATGCTATTTGGGCTTCTGTGCCTTTCTTTATATTGTTCTGTGTCTTGAATGCCTTTGCCTCATACTCTTTCCATTCAATTCAAATGTACCCATCTCTGTAACTTTCCTGACCCAATTTCTTATAAAACTGGTTACCCTTCCTTGTGCTTCCACTTTATAAGCTATTTCTCATAGTTCCTGTAACTGTTTAGTGTACTCACAGGCAGAACCCTATCTCAGTCATAAATATGATATAGACATCTTTAAACATTTTGTTTTAACTTAAAACATGTAATTTTTTGCATTTATTTTCCAGTCTTTTGATACAGGGCCAAGGCCCTTTTGAGTATGTGTCTATTGATTAGAGTTCCATGTCATGCTTACTCTGAGTTCCAGTTTGGTGTCTTTAAAGCAGAGCAGGAACTAAAAGATAGTGAAGCAATCTGAGTTCTTGTTCTGTTTTTCCCCCAGCCTTTTATAATTTTCTCACTCACACTCACTTCAATTGTAAAAATTCTTTAGAAACTTTTCTTTTTTTTTTTTCCCCAAGTCTTTCTAGAATGTTCCACTTAGTTTTCCTAGAGAGGAGAAACTCTTTTTGCACTCATAGTTCATCATCATAGACTGAGATTATAACAGCTGTACCTAAAATTAGTAAGTTTGGGAACTGTCTTAGTTATCTAGTGCTCCTATAACAGAAATACCACAAATGGATGGCTTTAACAAAAATAAATTTATTGTCTCACAGTTTAGAAGCTAGAAGTCCAAATTCAGAGCACCAGCTTCAGGGGAAGGCTTTCTCTCTCTGTCAGTTCTAGGGGAAGGTCCTTGTCATCAATCT